GGTACTGTGGTTTTCAATACCTTCGACACCACATCTCGAGTAATAATAGCCTCGCAGACAACTGACTTTCCACGCCCTTCAATCCAATTGACAGCAGCAGGTTTCTTATCAGAACAAAAATTCCCTGCACCACGGAAGACAAATTAAAGGAGGATTCCAGCAGTGAACCATCAAACTAAGTCCCTGCAATCTGCTGTTATAGATTGATGGTGAAAACACGAACTAAACCACTTCAGCAGAACTCAATATCAAATTTTCTTCCATCAAAGATTATAATTATATAGACAATGATTCAAAGAAATGATAATGCTAGACAACTAGCAATAGTCTGAAAAACAAATTACAGGGCGAGAAACAGATTTCAATCTCTATTCGGCCTTTTAGTGCTAATAATTGTGCCTAAGAAATAGAAGTTACCATCCAGAAGAAATATTCACTTGGACGTGTGTGCAACCTCAAAACGTAATGAACACTTCAGGAAAATTTCAGAAATAATTTAAGCAACAAGGTGATTGGTACTAACCAGAAATGCCAATAACATCCATATCAGGAAAATCATTTTGAAGGAAGTCTAGTACATTCTGAACACCCTTAGAAACCATGTTCATCCCCATGGCATCGCCTGTGCTGCAGCTAAATCTAATGTAAAGATTTTTACCTGCAATAGCACATTTGATACCTTGAAGTCTAGCAAATCTGCTTGACCTGGAAATATTTAAAAAATCAAATAATGAAAATCTGTTCTAAAATACTACAATTTGCAAAAACTGAACATAGCATGATATAAAATTAATTATCAAGTAATACAAATTAAAAACATTCGCAGAAAGGGAAGTAAAACTACTTATGAAGAAACAGAATCCCTGCAGTTGGGAAAAAAATATTTAGACAAATAACTTACAACGACCTGAATCTGAAAAAGACTCGACGCAGTGGGGGAAAGAACATAAAACCATCAGATATGGGAATCATTAATTACAAAGATCTGAATATAATTCAGCACTAAATCCACCTTTTCAGCAAATCCCAGAATCTGATACTTATGCAAAATCAGACACCAATCCACATCATCATTGTCCAAATTCAAACAAAATAAAT